AATGGGGCTTTTGGGCCCCACTTCATCTCACCAAAGACTGTTTGTTGACCCAGGAGCCTTCTCCACCTGAGCTGACCCCTAGGCTCCCTGGAGACACCACTGACAAAAAGAGGCTCTGAAGGAACACTACATGTGCCCATTGCACTCAGAATGGGCTGAATCACAGACAGGTTGTCACTGAAGTTCCTGCGTGCAGGTGTGAGTGCTGTTGCCCATGCCTGATATTGAGGGCCCTTTCAGATGCCCTGAGGTTTGCCTACAGCCTCCACTTGTAACACCAGTCCCAGTAGGACCCTTCACTCTTAAACCTTAGGATTTGCCAGGAACCCTCAGATGTCTAGATGACTTGAGGCTTTCACAACTGACAGGAGACATCAACACATGTTTGGAGAACTCTACCAGTATGTGCGCTTCTGCTGGACAGAAGGGTAATGAGCGCTATGGGCTGAGGCACCAACCTCTACCCTGGGAATGTTCATAGCAGGGGGATATGGCTCCCATCTGAGGAATCTACAGGCAGGAAAGTATTTCCACCTGCAGTCTCCCTCCCTGTTCAGCTCTGATTTTGCCCTAGATGAATTCCCTCTCACTACAGGACAAGAAAATGACAATGACAACGCTGCAATATCCCCCATGCACAGTAAAACTGCTTTATTGTCTGCAAAGGAAGCACCAAGAAAGGGACATTATTTCCATTCTCTTCTTTAGTTGCTAAAGTAAATCTGTACTCTCTTCCCTTTCACTTTCTAATCAATATTCTCAGTGCCATCTTCTGAAGGGAAAACTACTGTGCAGCATATTATTACCCATTTTGACTTTACTACTTTGTAGAGTCAGCAGTATTTTGTATGCAGGAGCTATAAGCTCTGGGTGCAAGCCAGAGCTTTCCTGAGAGCTTTCCTCAGGGCTTCCCTGATCTCCCTGTTCCGCAGGCTGTAGATGAGGGGATTGACCAGGGGTGTGAGGACAGTATAGAAAAAGGAGAACATTTTGTTGAGCTGCCTCAGAGGGGCTGTTCTGGGCATCAGGTAGACAACAATGAGGGTGCCATAGAAAACAGTGACGACGGTGAGGCGAGGGGAGAAGATGGAGAAGGCCTTCTGCCTGCCCACGCTGGATGAGATCCTCAGGATGGCAGCTATGATGCACACGTAGGAGGCCAGGGTGAACAGGAAGGGGAAGACTAGATTAAGAAAGCATAGGATAAAACTTAATATTTTAACCACACTGGTGTCACTGCAGGCAAGCTCCAGCAATGGGATAAAATCACAGAAGTGGTCAATAGACTTTGGGCCACAGAACTTCAGCTGGGATAAAAAAGAAGTGACTGCTGTAGAGAGAATGAATCCCACCAGCCAAGACGCTGCTGCCAGCTGCAGAGAGACCTTCCAGGTCATGAGGCTTCCATAGAGCAGCGGTTGGCATATGGCCAAGTACTGATCATAGGACATGACTGCCAGGAGATAACACTAGTTGCAAACAAGCCAAAGAAATATAGTTGTGTAATACAGCCATGAGCAGAGATGGTTCTGTCCCATCAGGAACCTGGCCAGCAGCCGGGGCAGGATGGTACTCCTGTAGCAGGTCTCCAAGGAGGACAGATTGCCCAGGAAGAAGTACACGGGAGTGTGCAGATGCTCATCCACCAGCACAAGGATGAGGATGTTCCCAACCACAGTCATCAAGTAGATCGTAAGCAAGAGGAAGAAAAGCAGAACCTGGAGGGAGGGGACATTCCCCGTTTCCAGTAGGAGAAAATCCATTGGTGGTGTGTGATTCTCCCATTACCCTTTCTCCATGTAGCACATCAGGTCCCTCATTTTTCTTTGGCCAGCAAAGCAGCCCACAAGCATCCTACTGTTTCTTTTTTTCTAGTATGAAAGAATTGTGAAGAAAGTTTCTGTCAGAGAAAACATGGATTCTGACACTTCTCTTACTGCATTGGTACTCCCTTTATGGCCTTGATGACTGGTGAAAGGAGAGAACTAGGAAGAGTAGTGCTTTCCAGGAGAATCAACCACACAGGTGAGCTGCCCCTCAGAGGTGGTCATTTCATGCTTAGAATGGAGTTAGAGGAGAGAAAGCATTCACTTAGACTGTGACAGTGTCTCTCCAATATCTGAAGTTATTCTGAAGAGCAACAGCAATCCCTTCCTAGCAAGAAAATCCCTTTATGTGAGCACATTATGCCAGATGTCCTTTCTCCTCCAAGGAGGGGTGAGCACTGCTCCAAATGGCTGATCTCAGCTCTCTCAAACACTTGTTTTGGAAGGGAAAGGCCATGTGCTTCCTTTGACAGTGGGTCAGAAGTTGAAATCCTTGGCACTGTGCAGCAAGACTGCCTGAGAGGACTCTCAGAGGTCCTCCACACAGGCTTCAGACAGAAAAGTGAGATAGACATGAGAGAAGATGGACACCTCCATCACTCCATTGCCACACCCCAATCTTCCAAAAGGGCAAGAAGGAGGAGCCAGGAAACTCCAGGCCTGCCAGCCTCCCCTCCATCCCTGGAAAGGTGATGGAACAGCTCCTCCTGGAGGTCTTCACTAAGCATGTGGAGGACAAGGAGGTCATCAGGAGTAGTCAGCATGGATTCACCAAAGGGGAAATCACGCTTGACCAACCTGATAGCCTTCCAGGATGGAATGACTGGCTGGGGAGATGAGGGGAGAGCAGTGGATGTTGTCTCCCTGGACTTGAGCAAGGCTTTGGACACTGTCTCCCATCACATCCTCAAAGGCAAGCTCAGGAAGTGTGGGCTGGCTGAGTGGACAGTGAGGTGGCTTGAGAACTGGCTGGATGGCCGAGCTCAGAGGGTTGTGGTGAATGGCGCAGAGTCAAGTTGGAGGCCTGTAGCTAGCGGTGTCCGCCCGGGGGTCAGTCCTGG